CTCATTTCATAAGCTTGTTGTGAGAATAAAATCTCTCTATATAAAAACCTAAGTGATCGTTTGACCCGTAGCTACGATGTGCACTGACCATCAGGGGGCAGATGCTCAACACACGGGCATGGAAACATGGAACAGACAAATGAATCTCAGAGGGAAGGGGGCAAGGGGTTGGGCGGGAAGAGATTAACCAAATGTTTTATATACATATTAGAGGCCCAGTGCACGGATTTATGCACTGGTGGGAGCCCTCAGTCTGGCCTGCAGGCATCAGGCCAAAACTGTAGTCTGACAGCCCCCAAGGGGTCCCAAATTGCCAGAGGATGCAGGCCAGGCTGAGGGACCCCCAACAGTGCATGCATCCATGCACCGGGCCTCTAGTGGAATAATAAATATAAACATTCCCAGAATGTAAAATATACTGACATCTGACCTCTATAAAGAGCTCCATAAATGTGAGTTATTACTCTAACTTCACAGATCAGTGACTGAAGCACCAAAATATTATTTTAAAAGATTAATACTTTAAGCCAATGGGTTCCTATGTAATGAAATGAAGATGGAAAGTTTCATTTGGTGAGGGATAAGCTGGTTCAAAGGGATTGTTTGAAGCTGTGGATTTTGAAGGGTGTGGATATTAGTAGATCTAATTCTAATTCAAAAGGTGGAAGCCTCTTAATTACTAACATCCTATGAGTAAGATTGAAATGACGATATTGTTTAGGTTGCACATCACAAACTTAGAAGAACCTTTTATAATGAGTGTTTTTTTCCTGTAAGAGACAAGAAAAACCTGATTAGTACATCCTCACAGCTTTAAGCTTTCTTATAGGTCTTTATTAATAACTAGAGGCCCAGCGCGCATGCTCTCACTTTGCCCTGCCCAATGCTGCTGCTCATTTGGTGGTGGCAGCAGGAAGACCACAGGCCTTTTATGATACAGATATTTTCTCTTCCTATGAAAGGGAAGTTAGATTGTTTATTAATTAGTTTTTCCCCCATACTTTTTAACTAACATCTAAGCAATATATTGAAAGTAGTGTGTATTGCCTATGACACAAATACAACCACACGGGGCCAGTGTCATATATATTTCCTTATAGAGATCCCCTACTATTTTTATAGTGGGTGAATTTATATACTTATCCTCTAAAACCTTACAGGGAATAGCATCTAGGCATGAAAATTTACTATGAATCTGTGATTTTGCCTTCAGCTTATATCTTCTGTCCTGCTAGTGTGACTCCTGATGTGAATACAAACACAAGAGCAAATGACTGATTTTAGTAAAACTTAACAAAGTTTGATGAGTTGGTCATAGAGCTCAGGATTAATATTACCTACATAACTTTTTCAACTTTATAGAGTAAAAAGAAAACATTGCAAAATAAGTTTCATTAAGCACATTTAATAAATGCCTCCTGTGTTCAGAAATCCCAAAGGACTAAAGTTGACTGCATTTTGAAAGTTGTTGTCTTCTCAATCATTGCATACCATTTTATCATAATCATTATAAAATATTGTAATAAAAATGAGTTAATAGTTTGTTAAGAGCACAGAGAAACTAACACTAAGCATAATATTCTTAACGTGATTATTAGATGCACTGAAAATTATCATGTCAATTAATAAATATTTACAAATGTCCAGGGCCTTTCCCCCTCTTTACTTTTCTGTTTCTGGACAGTCCTACCAGCTGTCTTTATAGCACCCATTTAGCAAACATTTGTATGTTTTGCAATACCTCGCAAGTAACAAGCATTGTAATGGAAACTTGCTAGTTATCTCTCAGTATTATCTGTTTTACCCTCTTCCTCAATAATAGAATCTGAATGTTAGGAGCATCTGGAATAAAAACAATATTTTTCAGTCTCTCATGTTGATTTGGCTGGCCACATGCTTCAATTTGGGTCAATGAAACAAAAAATGGAAATGGTGTGTGCAACTTATGTGAAGTGTGCTAACGGAGACACAATGTGCCTCTGTCCTTCCTTTCCCCACTTTTGATTGCCTAGACTGTGGATGCGATGACAACAATAGGGGCTGCCATTTTGGGTCATGAGGTCAAAGCCACATCTTAAAGAATATACCTGATACTCTGATGATCTCCCCACATCTGCCCTTCTCTACCTACATTTATGTAAAAGAAAAATAAACTTCTCTCTTGCTTTAGACACTGATATATATTTTTAAATATATTTTGTTGATTTTTAACAGAGAGAAAGGGAGAGAGGTAGAGCTAGAAATGTCGATGAGAGAGAAACATCGACCAGCTGCTCTTGCACACCCCCTACCGAGGATGTGCCGGCAACCAAGGTACATGCCCTTGACCAGAATCAAACCCGGGACCTTTCAGTCCACAGGCTGATGCTCTACCACTGAGCCAAACCGGCTTTGGCTAGACACTGATATTTTGGATTTTCTGTCACTTGCAGCCAAACCTAATCCTAACTTACACACAAATAAACAGAAATTGATGCACCTGTCTTTCAGGTATGATTCTTATCATTATGCCTTTGTCTTTGTCAACCATCCTGTTTTACGCAAAGACATGCTAGGACCAAAGGAAAAGAGAGAGATGATTAATTGATACCTGAGAACACTCAGTATTGAAAAAGTTTAATTTAGGAGAAGTTAAAGTCAGGAGAAGAAAGGGTTAAAGAAGTTAAAATTGTTAAATTGTTTCTATTCCTGGTAGCTTTAGCTTATTAAGAGACATTCTAGGTAAGATTTCAAAGTTAACTCCCAAGATAATGAGACAAAAGCTAGACCAGATGTCTAAGCTAAGCTTTGGTCTCAAAATAATTACCTTTGTTAATTATCAGTAATTAGTGTCAGCATCCAATACTTTCCTAAAACTTTGAGGGGGGTGTAGAGGGGAGAGAGAGAGAGAGAGAGAGAAAGAGAGAGGGGGGGGGAGGGAGAGAGAGAGAAGTAGTGGGGGTAGAGAATGACTGTATCATAAGAGAGAGTCAGAATATAAGCATTTTCTAGTACAATTATGTTTTGGGATCACTAAAATCTGGCTGCCAGATATTAATGACCAAATTTTCCTCTCAGAGGAAAGTCAGGGGAGGGTGGGTGAAAGGAGATCAACCAAAGGAATTGTATGCATGAATATAAGCCTAACCAATGGACATGAACACCGGGGGGGGGGGTGAAGACATGCGGGGGTGGGGGGTGGGCCAGGTAGTTAATGGAGGGATGAGTACACATATGTAATACCTTAATCAATAAAGAAATTTTAAAAAAATCTGATTCAAATGTTACAATTTTGAACACCAGTTTTTACGGAAAAACTGGATAGTTTCTTCCAGTTAATGCAGATAGCTTTTTTGTCTACCTCGGCTTAATTGGAAGTTTATATCCTTTCTTATTTATACCTCTCTTTTTTCATCAACAAAAATGATTATTTATATCTATAAAATTGCACCTTTAACTATGCCCTCTGTTCCCCTGACAAAAAAAAATATTTTAGCTGAAAATGGCTATAGCCATTTCAAGGGTCTTCCTGAAGTCTTTCTTTAACATCCTTTTCTTAGCTAGAGGCTACTGGTCTTTAGGTCGGAGGACAGCAGAGGGCTCTCAGTGCTGTGTGGATAGCTTGATTATTTGGGCACTTTTTACCTAGTACATCCCCCTTCCCTTCTTTGTGTAGATAACCCCTTGTGGACAGAAATATTTACAGATGCATCCATTTGTGCTCCACCTCATCCTTTCATCTCTCTTTGGGCCTCTCTTTTTGCACTTAGACTTTCTTTTTAAATATTTAAGGGCACCATTATCTGGTACTGTCCATTAATAATTCATTGTAGATGTAGTCACTTTAACCTGCAAGTACCAGTGGATATACTTTACTCTTTAAATCTCCATCACAAACATCTCACACTTGACTCCTGACCATGCCCCCTGTCCCAGGGTAGATAAGTCTCTATTCCTTCAAGCCACCTCTACTTAACTGTTTACTGGTTTGTCTCCCTCATCAGACTACAAAAGGAAAGAAACCATGTCTTACCTCGTTTATAACATCTCCAGTGGCCATCGGGCATATATAAATAGTGCATTGATTTTTTTTTTTTTGTATTTAATGAAATGTGTAATTATCCATATTGCCAGACTAATGGAACTTCTAGTTATACACTTTGATCCTTTTATAGAATTAGTGAGTCAAGAGATGAAGAAAAATTTTCCTACCACTATTTTGTGTTTTAGTGGTGATTCTCAAGTTCATTTTAGTCCATGGGCTATTTCTTTATACTAACACTAGAGGCTTGGTGCATGAAATTCGTGTATGGTTAGGGTCCCTGGTGGCTGCTGGCTGAAAGCCTCCCTTCCCCTGGCTGCCTGCCACTGCCACCTCCTGGTGGTCAGCACAAGTCTAACTCCCAGTTGGTCAAATTCCCCCCTCCCTTCGTGGGAACACTTATAATATTAGCTTTTTATTATTTAGGATAATGACCAGCTTACCTGCTTGCAGAAAGAAAAATAATTATTCACAAAGCTCACTAGGCTAGGAAGGAAAGTGCATTTTGATGATAAAGTAAAATGGTGTCATTTTGTTTTTAATAAGTATAACATATAAGTTATCAGCCCATACTAAAAAATAAAGATGGCTACATTTAATCATGAAGACTACATCAAAAGGGACAATTCATATACTTATTAACTGTCTATGTCTAGAAAATATATAGTCTACTCAGCACTGTTATATTAAAACGTTATGGCTTTTATAGGTATAAATTACAAAACCAACTACATTTTTAAAATATGTTATCATTCACTTCAAGGTTTGTTATCAGAGAAAAAGCATGAGATATGTCAAGTGCACACAGGCATTTTAATTTGCAGGCATATCTTATTTGCTTTATGTAAACTGGGAAACCACATAATCCTCATGTCATCCAATACTTTCACCCCATGATCACTATTCATTACAGTGTGATCAGAGCTGCTCCATGTAATCACACCTGTTCATTTCACAGCCTCCTCTCACCAATCTATCTTTAATCCCATACCTCCAGTGCTGTTCTGAACTGTCCTGCTGCCACGGCGTATTTCTTTTGTCTGTAGCACAAGCTGGCGTCCTTTAATGCTACTTGAAGCCATTTGTCAATCTGAGGCAGAAAGTTGAAATTAAGTCCATGCACAGGGTCTACTATTTCAGCCTCCTGGCATGTTGGCTGAATCCCAGTGGATGTGAAGGACTCTACAAACTCATAGCTCACATCCTCTTCATCCACATAGACCAGCTTCACCTCCACATCCATGATGCTCTTTAAGGGGATGTGAGGCAGAGGCAGGGAGATCAATGGGCTGTCAAGTTCCATGATCTTTGCCTCCTTCCTTCCAGCTGGCTTCTCTTCACCTTCTGCCTTCCTTTTAAAGGCCAGTTTCTCTAAATCATTGCTTTGTTTTTCTTTGATGCTCTTTGTCATTTTTATTCTGTCGACTGTGGTTTCCACCTGTTTGTCTCCACAGCTTTTCTTAATTTCCTGTGGTATTTCCAGGATGCTAGGTGGGTTTGCTAACGTGGACATTTTCTTGCTTATGTTTATCTTTGGAACCAGCTGATCAGAATAGACCCTATTTAACGGTATTCTTCAAACTCCCACTGCTTCCTGAATCCATTGATTCTTCCCCTGAAACTCCTATAGGGGTTAAGAGGGGAAAAAAAGAATTAAAACAATATTTTGAAATGCCAATGGTTTAAGAGTATAGTCAAATTTATTTAAAATACTGTTTTACTCATTATAGATATTTATTTGCCATAAAGTAAAACTATATGTACATCATCTGCTGTTTTACTAAAAAAGTGCATGTTTTAATCTCAAAATTCACCAAGCATTTGTTGAAAACACACTTAGACCATGTCTTAAAAAATACTCACTTATAGCTGAACAACATTGAATGAACGTGTGTATGGGGTACCCAAACTCACTAAGTAGGAAAACCTTATATACAGCCACTGAGGACAAAAAAGACACACACAAAATCTCGATATTAATTTCCTGAGAAAGGCAGGTGGTCTAGAACTCATTATAAAATATACTGCTAACCTGCATAATAGACTTGGGAGTTTAAAGAAACCACAGCTGCTTCCTCTGAAAAGCTTTCAGAAATGTTGTAAGCACAATGTTTCTTCAATTTGTTTCTTCTATTAGAAAGGAAAATCTCAAGTTTAAACCACTTTAAAGGTAACTATTATTCAGACCTCACTTGAAAGCCAAAGAACATGACCTTCAACCTCTCATTAATGTGGAGCCACATATTCATCTTGATTCTGCTGTATTAATATTTTGTAGCAATGACTTCAATACTGTGTATTATATGAAGACAAAGCATTTTCATAAATCACTAAAGTTCAGGAATATAATAACCAAAAGCCTTTTGATTCAAAGGTTTCTGCACACTATCTCTAGATTGGCTTAAAAATATAAAAGTCCTAAGACCTGATTATATAGTATGGTTGGTTCCTATTTTTAAAGACTTTTTCATCTATCATATTCTGTCCTGGAAACTACTCTGTAGGAGAAACAGGAAGAAGGAACATGTTTTTCGAAGAAACTAAGGGATAGAGAGGTTAAGTTGCTTATTCAAGTCATGTTGTTGATCAGTGGCAGAATCTGGATTGCTATTTCCTCCCTGGAACTTGCCCTCACTACCTCCTAGCCTGGGAGTACTTTCTTTCTTTGTAGGATTGGAGAGCTAATAGCAGACTTACATTAGAAGGCAAACAGAAGAGAAAATGCAAGTAGGAAGGGTTGGGTATAAGATAACAACGAGAAGAGAGCTAATATTCTTGCTTCTTTTCACCTACCACAAGGACAGTGCCTGACATCAAAGTTTTAAGTAGCTTTTCAAGACTGATGATTATGTTAATATTGCTGATTATTTTTATTTGTTTGCTTGAAAGACAGCAGTTTGCTTATAGAAAACATTTAAAATGCATTGAATTTTGACCCAGTAATGTTTTTTTTTTTGGTTTCTTTTTATTTTTCAATTATAATTGACATTCAGTATTATGTTTCAGGTGATAGTGGTTAGACATTTATGTAACTTACAAAGTGATCTACCCCAAAGTGTTTTGGCCCATCTGGCCCTATACAGTTATTATAATATTATTGACTGTATTCCCTATGCTGTACTTTGTATTCCCATGAATATTTTATAACTAACAATTTGCTTTTCTTAATCCATTAACCTTCCACTCAGCCTCCCAACCCCCTTTTCATCTAAGATTAAATTCCATATAATCATTTTGTTTTTGGATTTATAAGTCTGTTCATTTTTTTTGTTTGTTTTTTTGTTTGTTTGTTTGTAAATTCAAGCAAAATTATATGGTATTTGTCCTTTTCTGCCAGGGAAACAAGTGATAAAATAAACAAATGGGACTGCATCAAACTAAGATATGTTTGCACAACAAAGGAAACCATCAACAAAATGAAAAGACAACTTACTGAATGGGAAAAGATATTTGCTAATGTTACATCAAATAATGATATTTGCTAATGTTACATCAAATATCTAGAATTCATACAACTTAATACCAATAAAAGCAAAAAATCCAATTAAAAATGAGGAGAGGACCTAAACAGGGATATACAGATGGCCAATAGACATATGAAAAGGTGCTCAACATAACTAATCATCAGAGAAAATAAAAATTAAAGCTGCAATTAGAAATCACCTCACACCTGTCAGAATTGCTATCATCATTAAGTCAACAAACAAAGTGTTGGCAAGAATTTGAAGAAAAGTGAACCCTCATGCACTATTGGTGGGATAGTAAGTTGATGCAGACGCTATGGAAAACAGTATGGAGGTTTCTCAAAGAAGTAGAAACAGATTTACCTTACCACCCAGCAATTCCAATCCAGGGTATTTACTGAAGGAATCCAAAACACTAATTCAAAAATATATATGTATCCTTATGTTCACTGCAGCACTATTTACAATAGCTAAGCTATGGAAGCAATCTAAGTGTCCATCAACAGATGACTGGATAAAGGAGATGTGGTACTATATACACTGGAATATTACTGAGTTATAAAAAAGGAATAAAATCTTACCCTTTGTGACAACATGAACAGACCTAGAGGGTACTCTGCTAAGTAAAACAAGTCATACCCAGAAATTCTTTTTTATTTTATTTTCTTTGAGGCTGCACAGCCCCAATTCCATGCAGGGGACAGGAGAAGGGCCCCAGGAAAAACAGTTCAGTCTCTAAAGTTTCATTGAGGTTGGGGCCCAGCGGTGGGTCTGCACTTGACACACAAGGGGCTGGATTTCTATCAACTCTCATCTTCCCTGGCAGACAGAATCCCCAGTGATTTTCACAGTCAGATGATATGTGAGCTACTTTTCCCAGCTCTGGTGCTCTGGACTAGAGAGCCTGAATGGAATTGAGACCCCTTGCTCCTCAGGGGGAACTGTGTAGCTGTGATACCTCTCCAGATTCTCAACCACTGCACATGGGTACAGGGTCAGGCTTTTCACACCTCCATCTTCCTACCAGTCTCCATGTGACTTCTTCTATAAATCATTGGTTATAGGACTTCTATCCTCCTAGTTGTCAGTTCATTTCTCAGGTTGATTGTTCTATAATTTAATTGTAATTCTGGTATGGTCCTGGAAGGAGGTGAGTGTAACTTCTACCTACTTTGCTGCCATCTTTGATCTTCTCCCCAGTAATTCTTAAGAAGAGTAAAGGAAGAAACAAAACAGTACACACGACTCTAACCTTGGAGGCACTTTCTTCATCCCCACAATTGAACATTTGTGTCACCAGACAAGATTGAGTTCAAAAGTGGACATGTCAAAAAATCTACTGTGAGGTCAATATTACTGTATTAGAGATATCAAATTCCCATAATTCCAATAACAGCCATCTTGGATATTAATTTGCAAAAGTTTAATAGTAGAATAATATTTCCCTAGTGATTTACTATAGTTGTGTTTCTGTTGGGTTAATCACCTAAAAGAATAAAATTTTTGGCTGCGATGCTTAATAATTAAGGAGATCATCAGGCTGGGAATCATCGGCTCCATCCACACAGCTTTACTTTGATCAAGGCTCTGTTTTCTTTCCTCTCTTGGAATCATTGCTGGCATCCAATATATCTTTTGTGCCATTAATGTGGCCAGATGGAGTGGTGAGGAAGAATCTATCTTGGCCATCACTCTTTTTTTTTTTTTAAATATATTTTATTGATTTTTCACAGAGAGGAAGAGAGAGGGAGAGTTAGAAACATCGATGAGAGAGAATCATCGATCAGCTGCCTCTTGCACACCCCCCCCTACTGGGGATGTGCCCGCAACCAAGGTACATGCCTTTGACCGGAATCGAACCCAGGACCTTTCAGTCCGCAGGCCGACGCTCTATCCACTGAGCCAAACCGGTCCCGGCTTGGCCATCACTCTTGTGCCATATATGCTTTGGGTTGAGTGAAAGTTAGCTTTAGTCCTTGAATTAAGATGTCTCATGGATGGACATTTGGGATATGCATCTACTAGTATACCAAGAAGTTCTTTCAGTAGCAGACATGCAGAAAAGAAAGTAGCACAACTCCAACACCTCATGTGTGCCTTGTATGTTTTTTTTAAGTGTCACATGCACTTTTGAGTAAAATTTATATGCCACACAGTATGGCTAAGTTCCAAATAAAGCTTGGTTATGATCAATACTATAGAAATTTTCTATGTATATGTCCCCTTCTTGGTTCAATGCTATCTGTGAAGCCAAAGAAATGTGAAGCTCTTGAAAATTGTTCAAAGCTCAAAAAATAACCTGATTTTAAAGATCTTTAATTCATATTCATTCTTAAAATAGACTGCAAAAAATATGAACAGGAAAGTTTGGTGGGTGAGCTATTCCAAAATTTTCATAAGTCCCAGGTATGTTTTCTGAACTCTCTCTCTACTTCAAGCACCATTGGCTAAAATGTGTCAGATTATCTGTAATTGGTTATACTTAGCAACATTTTTAGCATTACCTATCGCTTTTACCTTTCTTTCACATCCCTTAAACACTTACAAATGTATAAATTTATCTTTATAATCACCTCTTTTAGAAGGTTCTCTCTCTCTCTCTAAATCTCTTTCTCTCCCTGCCTCCCTACTTCCCTCCTATATTCTGCCTATTTTTTCCTTCAAACTTCTCCACACCATTCTTCCTCCCAAATGTCCCCCACCTTCCCTTTTTTTCTCTTTAAAAGGAGGAAGGTTTTGTTGTTTTTATGAAACAGACTTCTGAATATTTCTGCATCAGTCCTTAAACCTCTATACAGACATGATAATTTCGGTTTTCAGTGCATATTTGTATACCAAACAATAATAGAGAAGGGCAAAATGTACATGGTACATAGAGCACTCAGAAAGAATAAATTCTCAAGAAAATATTTCATTTCAAACATCTGGAAGGTCAATTACTACAAATTTGTCCAAGAGACAATAATTCATGTAAAAACCTGTCACTGTAGAAACATAGAAAAAATATCCTATTATCTAAAAGTGGCATAGATGTGCAGGCTGTAAAAAC